GTGGAAGTGCACTCTCACCAGGGTGAAAATCGTGTCGAGTACGTGGTCGCAGAGGTACGACCCCCCGAAATCGAGATCCTGGCACGACCCCCTCTAACAGAGCAAATTAATTCAATTAAAATAAATCCTGCAAAACAAATCAAAAAAATTCTGCAAAATAATGCTAAGGACGCTTCATCTTGTCATCTATGCACGTCTTCCATCGCTGCATACTTTTGTGTACATACTGAAATATCGACTCGAGGAAAGAGGCATTAACTTTGTGTGACCTCAAGGCGAGGTTCGTTCAGAAACGCACAGAAATCCTGAAGACACGGGGTTGCGATTCAATCTTGATTCTTGCTTGAGTATATCAAAACAGCCGAGTGTATCAAAGGCCGATTCAACGGCAGCTGCGGCGCGATTGTCACTGGGTCAGATTTGCCGAAATTTCAAAAAAAAACGTCCGAATCTACACCCTCGATGAAAAGGTTGCATTCCTCCATTTCACAACCTTTGAAGCAGCTTGAGGTAGAGTTAGATAGAGCTGGATTTCGCGTTTCCAACAAGCATCGAAATTGCTCTGGAAGCCTTCCTTGCAGAAAGATAGGGTCTGTCAAATTTCGTCGAGTAAATGTCGAGGAGGCCCAAATTTTCACGCGAGTTTTTGCCACTTCAAGAGCAATATATCTCTTATATTGTAAGATCCTGAAAAAGGGAAGATAGTTTTGGAAAGCGGAAGGTTTGCGCTTCCTGATGGTCTGTTTAGTTTTCTTCTACAGCTTTTTGGTTGAAGAGATAATTGCGTCGAGGATCTATCGAGGTCGGATCCGGCCACCTGGAAATCCGCTCCCTCATTCACCATTGCAAGTGTGACTCGTTGGCAACACTCGGAATGTGTCTAGAACAATATCTTTGAACAAACAATAAGAATAGGAGCAATCGTCATCATCCGATTTGGTATTGGTATAAGCCATGCATCCCTCCTCCACTCACAGTTGCAGAATCGATTGAAAGGTGTTATATGATGGGGACCTTCGAACGAAACTGTATTGTAGTAGACATAGTGTGTTGTGCTATTCCTGTAACCTAAAAAACAACTTCATTTGCCCAGCGCTTTTTCTTCACGGTTGTCGTTTTTGCGACAGGGTCCTAACAACAGCGTCATTCTCAGCGAGGTATTAAGGGAGAAGGAGCGAGTGATAGGCGAGGAGGTGCCTTTGCAGCGCGTGCGCACATGTGGCAGTCTTCTTTGCGGGGATGCACTTTCATTCTTTGTACTGCCTTCAAATACGCCCTTCTCATGAAGGTGGAGGAATGGAGCGACTGAACCTGCAAAGAAAATTTAATATCATGTTTTTTTTCGGATGTTTTCATTTTCTGCTGCGCTATACCCTATTACCTATCTGCACCATGATACCACTTCTGTTACTGACCCCCAAGAGTACGACCCCCCATGGACCAGCCCAACAGGTACGACCCCCCTGTCGAGGATTTCCTCGACCGATATTCACCCTGCTCCAGCCCTGAGCGCCGTTTCATAGTAGTCCTGCGAGGTTGCTGTCATTAGGACGGAAAGCGACTTTTCTCGCGTTTCGCAGGCGACATGTTACGTTGCGGGGATCTTCAGGTCGCTGATGTGTCGCTGGGCGGGACTCGGTCGGAGATGTGATCGGCGTGCTGAGGTCCGCGCGCGGAGAGTTTCGCGGTTGCGAACGCGAAACGTCGCTTCTGTCCTAATGAACAACAGTCCGCGCGGTGGGCGTGTTCACACGCGTGAATTCAGGGTCTGAAATATTGCGTTAACTACAAAAGGAAGCATCATTAAAGGTTATCCTCAGCTGACACATCAACGAAGATGAGCTTGACAAATAGGCTCCACCTTATTAAAACAGGTGAGTGAGCGAACCGAGGCTAGCGATGCTTAGATTCCACTAGGTTGGGTTCGAGAACGACATGATACGAGGTGAAGACAAGTTACTCTCCATGAGCGTGCGGAACATACCTTTGCGGAGGAGAGTATGGCCGCGGCGCCTACCAAGGTCACACTCGGTACCGCTCGCGAAGCCGCGTCGGGCGCGATAGGCATCCCGCCAATTTGAGCTTCAGCGTCTAAAGTGATACGTGTTGAGTTCACGGAAATCAAATGGCGTCTCGACATGTTGACCTTTCCTCGTTGGTAGAAATGAACCACGTTTCAGAAAACTGACCGCAGTGCGCACACCTTGTTGAGTGATGAACGTTTTAAGAACCCCTGGATCCGTGTTCTGCGGGTAACCGAAATCCACAATCTCTAAACGAGAAGAAAAAATCTTACTAAAGTGTTTGAAAGCGAAGAACGTTCAGGTTATGTTCCAATAGTACCGCACTTTCACTTTTTTTCAAGCAACACCTTACGCGCATAGCTTGACTTAACCAAGTCACAATTGAGGTATATTTTGTCATTTATAACACAATTCTCCACCCTATTTTCGTCACAGAGATACGTATAAGATTCGAAGATATCTCATTGAGCGTTATTCGCAAGATCGGAACACTCTGTACGACATGTACATCACTGGAGGTAACAGCTCATTTCAAAATGGACAATTTTCCTAACAGGTTCAGTTAATAACGGTGCGGTTTGATAGGACGATGAAATACATCTTCTCTTCATGTAATCGTCGTAAGCAAATCATTTTTGATGATATATGCTGTTTCTCTCGACGGTTGAAATGCACTTCTTACCTCATAGCACTACTAGTAGACATATTATCAAGTTTACAACTTTGCGTTAAAGTATGCAAAAAGGGTGTCAGAGCACGTCCCGATCATCATCAACAGATTTATGCTCAATTCAAGAATAAATAGCTCACCGTATGAAGTTTTATAGCCCGCAAGATTCATGCGGTATTTGGGAAACGGTTTACCCCCATTGCAAGTGTATGCCTCGAGTGTACCATTCATTTTGTGGCATGCCACATAAACACAGTCTTCGCTGATCTTTAGAATGCCGTAAACCTCGATCCATGCCCTTGGATGGCGATTGTGTGATTCCGTCGCGACTTAGTAGGATGCTTTCAGATTTGTGACAGTGCCGCAGATAGTGAAAGTAATTCGGGACACTGTGGATATGACAAGTGCGCAATCGGATGTCAATCGAGGACCATCAGCTTGCACGGCAGAAAAATGTAGCCCAGCACCGGACGAGTTTCGCCAACCACATATCTATGAGCTTAACAGGAGTGGGATGGTGAGAGAGAGGGGAGAGCGGTTAGATATTTTAATATAGTTAGCAGGCAAAGGCTAATGCTTCAATGCATTAAATAAGTTCTTCTTCTGTCACTGGAATTTTTGAGGTGACAACAACACAATGTATGTGTTTTTTTTCGGAACAGATCGCCCCCCCAAAATCCTCGAAGGCTACTGTGGGTTAGTGTATGCATTAACTCCAACCTATAAGCGCTTCTGAAGAACTTAGATAAATCTTCGAAAATAGAATGCATTCAGAAACTGACAAGGGAAAAACACTCAACAAGCTACTTGCGAAGCGGAGCAGGACACTCTTTATAGTAATTGTTAATGAAACATTGTTGCGTTCTTCATAGAGCGTATACATTGGATATCAGCTCAGTGTTTTTTTGGTTAGGTCATCATGTGCGCAGATAAATAAATAGAGACCATTTGTGAATGGACTTTTGTTGAGTTGTTCATTCCGCAGGTTTCTTCTTGCGTGAATGCGACTCCTCAAGCGCTTTTGGCAGATGTGTTTTCGCTGCCAAATTTGCACTTCAGATTCAGTTGAAATCAAATGTGACGCAACATCCATATGGAGTAAACTGGAAGGACTCTAGTGTGGCGTAAAGGTGCACCCTTGCTTGAAAAAAGGCGCGACATTATAAGCACCTACATGGCAAAAATTTGCTGAAGAGCACCGCGATATCGATCGAAAAAAGGAGACTCGCATTAGTTTAGCTCACGTGAGACCTAAGGTTCAAAAACTGGAGTTGAGAGAGCATCGTCTTCGCTGCTTTCGTCTGACTCTCTTCCTAAAATCTGGCGTATTGTGCTGTATCATGAGAGAGCTCCCGGATAGCTAGAAGGAAAAAGATCTCTTCTTCAGCTCGTTCGAGCATAAAAGTTGCATCCACATTGTTAAATAGTTGCATCGGCTCCACTCAGCTGAATCACTCCTCAAATCGTCGCGTTTAGCCAAAGCCAATGGAGTGGCTAACCAACTTCATTCTCTACTGAAAGATAGGTCATAACGACAGAATTTTCGCGACGAGTGGTTATTCGCGATGGCAACATATTCGACATTGTTTCATGACAAATTAAAGCTGAGGCGGTGGTAAGGAGTGAAGAGATTAGCGTCACCAAGGGGATACAGTGTGAATTTCCCTTCTCGAAGTACCACTTTTAAAAGGTGAAAATGTCATGTGAATAAATTTGCGTCATTTCATTCCTTTAAGTCAGCAAATACTACGTGATAGTGTATTTAGGTGACTGGTGCGGTTATATATTACTAATAAAATAAAGTATGGAAGAAAACTAAACATCTTAACAAATAAGAAGCAACTTATCGAACAGAAAACTAACCGTCCAACAGCTCATAGATCACACGAAGTTGTTTTTGACGTTCTCCTCATTGAGTTTGCCAAAATATGACTGCATTGTATCGGCGAATTTATTCAGGAACTAAAAACAGCTATAAGACTCAAAACTAAACGTTCATGAAAACTCAGTCATTTTGGAAACCATTTCATAACGCCCCACTGTTCAGATGAGACTAAAAATCCATTAGAATTATAGTACCAAGATTCAATGATTGACTGATAATGGAAGTTATTACGTTGTAAAATCTCCTATGCTTATCAGTACGCAACAATATAGATTGACCGAATTGAAAACCACGACGCCACAATAGAAGCTGTACGTATCAGTGCTCACACATTTGGAATCTCTGACAGTAAACCTCGAAGGTCTTCTTTTAGAAAGAAAAATGTGAAAAGGAACAGAAGTAGCGGTGGAGGATAGGTTTGACACTCTTTTGAATACAACAGAAACAAATCTCTTTTCTGACGTTCTACTAAAATCGCCACCGTGGGCAGTGAGGGGATGAAATCCACATTGAACTTTCTTGTTTCTATTATATTAATGATTTCTTTAGTTCGTCAGTTCGATTCTACAGTAAAAACCTTATACCGAAGGCGAGGCGAAGTGTGAGTGGGGCGGAAGTGGTGCAGTGAGGGCGGAAGTGGTGTAGTGACAAGTGGCGCGCTCACCACGCGAGCGGTCCGGGGATCAAATCCTGGGTCGTGAGTCGCCCGGGCCAACCAAGCCTTCCATCCCTCCGGGGTCGGTTAATTGGTACCAGACTGTCTGGGGATAAAAACACTGACTTGAACATCGGCTGGCCCCCGCAAGTCATTGTATAGGCCACATCGCATTCAAATGCCACTGCGAATGTACAAATGGAAGTAGAATGCGTGCCGCATCCCAAAAAGGGATTGATCAACGGCAAATGCTTTATCCTTTTATCCTTTATACCAACCTCAACGGCGTCATTGGAAACTTCGGTTGAGGATAACAGAAAATCCAAAAAGTACATGCGTTACTGGATGTAACCGGTTTCATTATGCATACCCATATTTCTAATTGGATTAATGCAAAATTGAAGTCAATTTTGAATTGTGAACACAATAATAAGGAGATTGAGCTGCAGCCAGTGAGTGTCATGCAAGTAACATCTCTCACGCGAAAAAACAATACTCACTTACATTAGTCACCTCGAACAGTCCATTGCAGCACCCACATTTTGGCGGGTTACGGCACAAATCCAGACGTTTCCCCTTTTTATATGAAAGAAAGAGGTGCGAGCCATATTCGTCACCGGCGTTCGAACCTAAAAAAATTTCGATAAAATGTCCTGCAGGCGCTGCATCCACCGATCAATTATTTTCGGCGTTGCGCTTTCAATCTCTTGACGTGAATACCTTCTAGCCTGCGCCAATTTGCTTCCCTACTCTTTAAAGTAACTCCTGATTGCGGAACATTACGGGAAGCTAACGTAATTGGGTGGGGGACTAATGACGCTGCGGCCCGCGTCAAGCGGCCTCAGGAAGATATAATTCTCGTAATTGCGTGTCTTCGCATTGAGTGACTTCTGCCATACCCCGCCGCCTAGATTCCCTGGCTCACGAATTCCTCACCTCGCCCCTAAGGAAGCCAGCATGCCGCACGCGCGGCAGCTACTAGTCCCTCATTACCTTGCCCTCATTGAAATGGTAGCGATCCAAAGTATTGTCGAATGAAATTAGATGCACATCTTTTTAAGAAAACTAAGGAACACTGTAACCGATCGAGAAGTCAAAAAAAATTTCGGCATTTTTGATAGAAATTAGACCCCGCCAAAAGACGGTGAAGCCAACAGGCGCTGCAATAAATGTAAAACACTGCACCACAAAAATCCCCATTTTCTTCGAAAAAAACCCCTTCGAAGCTTGATGACCTAGTTCAGATTGAGAAGGATTGAAGAGAGCTTAAAAACTGGAACCAACGTTCATATTTCAAAAACGTTCTTCAAGAAACGAGTTGGGTTATCTTAACAGCAACCATCAAATAAGTCTGATAACGCTAGAGGAATTAATATGATTCCGTGGATATTGCTTACAAATATCTTCGGTATATTTGTAGAAAAGTAGCACATAAGTACAATGAGATAGATAATGAGGCAAACCTCACCTGTTGTCTGGCATGGATAACATTGACTCTGAATGCATCGACCGCATTTCGCCTGAAAAAGAACACAGAATACTCGCAATTATTGCAGCAGACTTGCCATTTCTAGAGACGACATTTTTGCAGGCTAGCAGTTCATCTTAGCCTTGTTGAGGGTAACACAGGTCTTTATAGATTTAAGAGAAATGCGCTAGAATTTACACCTTTTGTAGAAGATGAGCTTGCTGCATATGAGACGATTTGATGTTGTTATAATGGTTTAGTCAGACGAAAGTTGGTACGAAATCAAGCCAGTCACGTAGATTTGGGCTATATTAAGGGGGCTAAAGTAGCTAAAAACAAGCAAGCCGTGATGCCGTTGCCAACAGTTCTCACAAGAGAAAATGAAACAAAGACGATACATGAAGCATGGCTTCACATGAAGCACGCCCCGTTATCATAACCTCCAAATGGTGGGCGTGCCAGAGAAGAGGGCGTTCTTGAGGGAAGCCTTTGGCGCCTTAGCATATCGTGGATAGTGGAACTTCTGCCGTAAGGGCATCACTTATATCTATAGTATCTAAGCTCCCACTACCCTTCTCCCTCCTTCACAGTCTGATTGAGCGCGATTGCTGCCCTCAGTGTCTTCTCGTGAAACAAAAACGAAACAACGCGAAATTTCGTCGAAAATGGATCGTTATCCAATTTATGTGCTGAAGAAGTGGGACGATTAAAAATTGGCGCCGATTTGTACCAGCGACAAAGGAATATTTTTATTCGTGTACGGACCACCAATCACCCTCAGGTTTTACAGGAAAGGTAAATATGCCTTTAAAGCGGTGGGATATGCCACTACAGTCATAAACGGCTACTTAGGCGGGTGTGGTTCACTAGGACAGAAAGCGACTTTTTCGCGTTTCGCAGCGCGAAACATTGTTCGCTGCGGGAACCTCGGGTCCACTGATGATTCGCTGCGGGAACCTCGGGTCCACTGATGATCAGCAGGTGGACCTGAGGTTCCCGCAGCGGAACGCGAAAAAGCCGCTTCCTGTCTTAGTGAACCACACCCACTTAGGCGAGGAAGTGCAGACGAATGCAGTACACTGACGCTTCTAAAGGAACGCCTTTAAGCAGCCCATAGACTATGCTGTCTAGAATATATGCCAATCGATGCACCGTATATTTGTTGCAGAATATATAACAGAATGAGCAAAAAAGCCTTATGGTGATAATGGATACAACTCAAAGGAATAACAGGAAATATGTATTTAACAATTACAACCCCAAACACCTGCATCAGTGGAACATCAAAATGGTCAAAAAATTCTTTGACTCAAAATTCGTACGCAGGAGTATTTTAGGGCCTTCAGTAAGAATATGACATCCATTTTTAGAGTGTCTTTTGGCGTCAGTTTAGAGAAAATGTTTTGCTTGATTTCGCCAGACGACACCAGCATAAAAGAATAATGTCATGATTGTGGTCTGAGTAGTGAATAACTTCAAAACGAAGTTTTTCAGCGAATTTAGTGACAGGCTTGGCTCCATATTGGCGAAAAATTGCAGAAAATGGCGCCAAAGCTAAGGCTGGCGTCAGGGTCCGCGAACCATCGCGCGAATTGCGCGAATCGCAGAATCGCAGGTACCCCATTTTGACACTTAAAACAGAATATGGAGCAAGTAGAATGATGGGCACTATTTACCCTTTACTGCCCCACTCCTCGAGAACTGAGCCGGATTTTTATCGAAATTGGTCATTGACTGTGGATTTGGCTAGAAACTTGCCTTCGGGGGTAATTCGACCCGTAGAACACGAATATCACATTTGTTTACCGCTAGAACGCCTGGCGCTCGCGTCAGAAGCGCCGGCGCCAAAAGGCGCCAGAACATCTCGGATCCCCAAATTCGCTGGAAAGTTGTCCTCAGAGGTATTTTGACCCGTAGAATATGATTATCACATCAGTTTGTTACGAGTGAACCTGTAGCCTGCGCTACGAGCGCCCGCGCAAAACTGTTGTGATAGCGCCGGCGCCTGTGGCGCGGGCGCCAAGCGTTTTCGCTCTAAACCGGTATTATATTCGTGATCTACGGGTCAAATTACCCCTGAAGGCAAGTTTCTAGCAAAATCCACAGTCATGGACGAATTTCGATCAAAATCCGGCTCAGTTCTTGAGTGGGGCAGTAAAGGGTAAATAGTGCCATAATTTCTGTTATCCGTTGCGCGACGGGTCGCGGACTCTGACACCAGCCAAGAATGGCTACAATACTTAACAGTGAACAGAAATATCCCTGTCGATGAAATTCGGACGAAAATAGAAAGCTGAGATTGCGGTGGTTATAAAAAGCAAACAGTGCAAACAGCTTTGCTGTGGCAGTAAATAATGACGTGATCAAACGTCATTCAACCCCTCGAAATGAAACCAAAAAGTGATAAGAAGCGTGACTTACGTGACGTCGTCTCGGTATATGCGTGAGATAAGAACTTCTCCTTTGTGATTGTACACGAACAGGCCACCAATCATGGCTTATGCACGGTACAACTGCAAAAAAAGGTCATACTTTATTTTCTTAATTGCACCATATACGCTTATGAAACATTTGGCAAAGAATAACACAACGAATAACTAGAACGGTAAAGGAAATCGATCCCTTTTTCGGTAAAGGAAGTATGAGAAACATCCCACAAGTCCATACAAATCTTAGATTTTAAAGGGACAGAAAGTTCAACATCCACAACCGTTGCAAGGGCATCATTCAATGGATTTCTAGCATTATCCGACAACTGCTCCCGATCTGAAATCGGAAAAGCATACACGACCGCAACGCCTTTCGCCCGCGGCGCGAACTTAAAATGGCAATTGACTATTGCCGAATAGACAGCGGCCGCGTCGCGTTGTCACTTCATTGGAGCGCCTTATTATAACATCAATACTCGAAAGCCATCGGCGCTCTGAGGTGTCACCATAATCCATCGGCATCCTTTCATGTCTTGTTTAGTGGCACCCATTACCTCAAAGAGCGTGTACCGCTTGTATCTTGAAGTCAGGTGCGTCCGCAATGCATACTTAGCACTAAACGTGTGGTATAAAATGCTCAGAAACACCGAAGATCCGTACAAAGACGAATCACGTGAAATAGATTTCTTTACGGCTGCTGCTAGTATGTGCACTGTAATTCTGCAGAGGCAAAACACGTCGCGAGGGTCATGAAAGTCCGTACGGTATGTTGCTAAGACTGCATTGCAGACGCACCTGGCTGCTAAGCTGCGATTGTGAGCCGGCGAATGAGGAATTTTCGGAGGACCAAGCCTAGTAGGGGGATGAACTCAGGGTGAGGTCAAAATTGCTCTTACACGAGTTTCTTTCCCTTTTTGGTCTTTTATTATTGAGATTTATTACGAAGTTTAGTCCTAAACATAATCCAAAGAGATGCTTGTCGTGGTTTTCAACGCGTTAAGCGCGCTGTACCGAAACGCCCCCTCTTACTGAAACGAACCCACCTTTTTTATTGAAGTAGTGCTCTTTCGTCGATGAAAGCCCCAAACTCATCCATCGAGTGATTGACCAATCAGAGTGAGCTTGGGGATGAAACTTTCAACTCCATGACGGATAAACTCTGTTTCCCGTAGCTTGAGGTGTCGCAAATGCAGACCTAGCAACAGCGGTGTCAGCATCAGATCGTATTGAGCGTAAAGCAGAGAGGGTATCACCACATGTACCACAAATTACGTGATTCTGTCATTACGATACTTCAAGCTACGGCAGTTAAAATGATTCTGTGATTATCCGGCGCAGGAACAAAGAAGGTGCAAGGGCAGTTGGTGGAATAAGGAAAAAAGGTCGACTTTTAATACAAAGTGCATCCTTTGGGGACTACGCCCTAGTGCAGACAAAATGTTTATCACCACGATCGATATAAAGCTTTCCACCGCTTTCACATCATGGAAGTCCGAGCGGAGCACTTATTATTCGCTTCAGTGATTCAATATGAATGGTATACGGCATGGGTTAATTAATGTGTAACTTTTTCCGTGTGATGCTATGGACGCACTATTGGAATCCAGAAACGGTGTCGTGGAGTCCACGGAGGTTCATTCGCAGGGAAACTGCTCTTAAAGAATGTTCGTGTTGCACGACTGCTTATTTTTCTGCTGAGGATATTCTGCGCTGCACACCAGTCGCAGGATAACGTGCTCCATCGCGAAGGGCCGCACCGCGGACGCTTTCTGTCCGACAATGTTCGTTTGCCAATTATGTTGTTCTCAGCTGATGACGTCCTGTCGTACAACGATGATCTTCTCCATGACGTAACTGAACCGTCATATCCTCTGGGATAATCCACTCTGCTGTTATTGCATTCTCCTCCTTGTTCATCCTTCCGTGGAGGAAAGTTGCTGTTTTCCGAAATTTATCATCTTCGGCCTTCGTTGAGCTTTTTAGTCATGGATGATGAAGCGAATCTTTTTGAACGTGTTTTTTACGAAGTACTTTCATACCAACATTGTTCTCATTTCCGTAAATATTATTTTTGGAACGCTTTTTCCTGAGCATGCATTACAAGTATGTTCTTTCTTAGGTCAATGTTAATTGGAAAAAGTATCAAAAGTTGGGATTTTCTGCCCTCCTAGTCCCTTTTCTTTTTTCTCATTTTTCCTCGTTGACCGTGGGGTCCAGTTAAGGCTGCTGGTGTGGGGCGGGAGGGGGGGGGGGGGTGATGTAAAAGTCTGTGGTTCATTTGCAACCAGAATTGCAGCGCTTGCTGTTATATTAATTTTATTAGTTGTAAGGTGTGTTACTTGTTTTTTTTTCTCATTTTTTTTACATATTTCTGCCATATGATATTCAGCTTATGTGGAGGGATGACTCTAGATCAGTTTAACGCAGT